GATTTAGGAGCCTTGTCGTTTCTTCAGTGGAGGGATACATGCAAACTTCTGTGCTTTAAGTTTAAGTAAGATGTTTAGGCAGTGCGTAGCTCATTATTTAAATTACTTCCTACTTTAACTGAAGTTTTTTATTAACTAGTCAACTCTGGGCACCAACTGTATGAACTCAATTGTAACTACCGTAAGAGAGAGGAGTGCGGTGACAGCTTTGTTCAGGCAGCCTGGGAGACCAGATTATAGATAGGTATAAATGTAGATGCAGACATACCTACGGATATAGATAGAGATGTAGAGATATAGACACAGATGTGCACACGTAGACGTAGGCATAGAGAGAGAGAGAGATATATATATACACACATAGTCACCATCTTTCCATATCCAGCTCATGGGAATCCCTCCCCAAAAGTATTAATTCACTCTGTCATTTGTGCCTTTATTGCACATTTCACACTGCATCATAATTATTTCCTCTATGTTTTGGACATTCCCAAGGGAGACAAAGCTTGAGGAAGTGGAAGGAGCCCCAAGTTTTGAGACCACACTTGGGTCTGAATCTCAACATTGCCCCTTCCTGGCCATGTGACCTTGGGTAAGACTCATGACCTCTCTGAACTTAGGCAGTGACCTTAAACAGGAATAAGTATAAAGTGCCAAATAAATGGCAGCTGTTGGGATTCTTATTTATTATGGGACACCCTACTATTTTGTACATTTCTGTTGACGCATCATTTTCCTCTGGAAATCCCCAAGGCCAGACTGTGTGTCTCTTTCAATTTTGTCTTCTCAATGTGCCTCTGTAAGAGTAAGACTGAGCTTAAGAGTTTGTAGAATGAATAAAACATCTTGTACATTCTTTTTGACATCTTAGTAATTTTTGGGTCATTGTGCGAGGCCATGGGGCTGCTTCCTCGAAAGTTTCAGGGAAGGTGAGAGAAGGAGTCGGAGTTGGGAGAAGGATGAGGAAAGAGAGGAAAAGAGGGAGGAGAGAACGGCAGGACCTGGAGGATCTGAGATGGATCTGTCCCCACCTGCCTTGTGCCCTGATTAGCTCTCAGCGCTCAGGTGATGGGACGCTGCCAGTGGGCAGGTGCCTGGCAGGCTGGGGCCGGTGGTGGAGACGAAACTGCTTTGTCGGCTGGACTGTCAGGGCCTGTCAGTTATTCAGGTCCCTCTGCCCAGGAAGGAAGCCGGTGCCGGAAGCCCCGGGGGAAGTAACGACAAATGTGCTGGTGGGGACGAGGGAGGGAGAGAGACTATTTCCTGAGTACAGACTGTGTTTTTGGCCCGATGCTGGACACTTTTACACCCATTCTTGTTTCCTGCTCACATTGACCCCGAGGAGAAGGGCTAATCCACATCGAGTTAGAGGTAAGAAGCTGAAGCTGAGAAAAGCTGAGTGCGCTGGCCGAGGTCACGCAGCTAGGAAGAGAGTTTGGAACCAGATCAGTCTAAAGCCCGTGGGCTGGACTGCTGCCACACTTGCTCGGGCAGAGCTGACCAGGGGTGCAGGTTGTTCATGCTGAATGAAAAACCGTAGGGCCTGTAATGGGAGGGGCACTAACTCGGGACTGGGAGCCCAGAGCAGAAGTCCCTGCCCTACCATTCCCTGGTGTGTGACCTCGGTCAAGGTACTTTACCTCCCAGAGCTTCACTTCCATCATCCGTAAAATGGGGGCAATGGCGTTAGCCCTGACTATAAGTAAACAAGTGGGGAAGATGGAAACGGTTAGGAAGTTACCGAGTGCTTGTTCCGTGACAGGGACCGGGACAGACCCCGTGGGCGTGCCATCCTATTAAACCTCACACGTCCCTAGGAGGTAAGGGCTACCGTTAACCCTATCTGAAAGATGTGGAAAAGGAGGCTTTAAAGGGTTCCAGAACTTTCTCTGCAACAACACAGAGCTGGAGCTGGACTGCATTGCTGGCAGCTTGCTCCTGAGTCTGCCTGCTTGCTCCACCCTGAAATGTACGTAAAAGGACTTTTTAGACTATGAAACAATGAAAATCTACTGTTTTATTTGGACTGAAGTTTGCCAGACCTTTAGCTTACAGAGTTTCGAGTGCATTATTCCACTTACTCTCCAACTGCCCTGGGACCCAGGCCCAAGCGCACTGCAGCTCAGAGAGGTCAGTTTACCCGTCAGGGGTCACACAGCCAGGACTGGCAGAGCTGGGAGGTAAGCCATGTGGGCCTGACCCCCAAACGGGTGCTCGGAGGATCTTTGGTTCTGATATTTGGTCTTTAGCCCCAGTTCCTGACAGAACTCTCGAATCCCTTGGGATTTCCTGGGCGACTGGAGCATCTTTTGTTCTAAGGAGGCAACTCTCGGTGGGCTCCTGGTCAGCCGCAAGATGGGGGGTGGTTGCTGGAGAACCAGCCACGCTGTGACTGGAGGTTAGGAGTTTCAGCCCCACACCCGGCCTCCAGAAGAGGGAGGGGGCCGAAGGCCGATTACCAATGGCCAGTGATTTAAAAGGTCCTGTCTGTGTAATGAAGCTCCCATAAAAACCCCAAAAGGACGAGCTTCTGGACTGCTGCACACGGGGAGGCGCTGGGAGGGCGGCCTGCCGGAGGGGCACGGAAGGTCCCCATACCTCGCCTGTGCGCGTCCTCACTGGCTGTTCATCCGTGTCCTCTGTAACGTCCTTCAAAATACATGGGTTAACACAAGTAAAGTGTTTCCTCGGGGTTACCGTTGAGCTGTCCTTAGTGGAATTTAAATTGAACTCCTGGGAGGCGGGCTCGGGACCGCCGATTTATCATGTCAGTCTTGTTTGAGTGCAGGGGTAGGTGACAACCTGCTAACTCTCCACTCGGTGTCTCTGAGGGTTGCGGGGGCCGGGGGGCAGTCTGTGGACTGAGCTCTCACCTGCGGGACCCTGACCTACTCTAAGCGTAGACAGTGTCAAACCGAGTTAAATGTGGGACGGACACCTGTTCCAGTGTCCTGGAGAATTGCATTGCCCGCGGGGAAAACCCTCGTACATTTTGAAAGACCAGATGTGTGAACACATTCTCTGCGCCGTTGAGTGTTGTACTGAGGCGTGAGGTCGGAAGGGGAAAAGCTTGTTTTCCCGTTACAGTGAATGTACATGAAGAGCTTGGGCGCCTTGTCCCTGGACACAGCCGTGGTGCACTCGTGGGGTGTCACGCCGTTAGGTTAACGGTCTGTGGGAGCACGGTCGCGCGTCCCGCACCAGCCATCTCATCCGCCCACCCACAATCACCCACCCTGCCGCCTTCCTGGTCCTCCTCCGTGCGTCATGTTCTATCCTTCCGCTCCATCGTTATCCATCCATTATCTGCACGGAGCTGCTGCCGTGTTCGCCCCATGCGGTTGCCTGGGCCACTGGGGTTTCTTGAGGTCGAAAAACAAAACAAACAAATGCACAGCCCTTGCGTTCGGCTTGCTCACGCTGCTGCCGGTGCCTGTTTGATTGGACCGGAGCCGGGCCGGGTCCTGTGAGGCGTGGAGGGCGCAGAGGCAAGGAAGCAGTTTCTGGAGCCCTGCAAGAGCTGTGGCCTCAGCGAAGGGCCCCCGCAGAGCGGAAGCCAGGAGACC